GTTGGTTACTTCAGAACTCATACAGCCTCACTAAGTAAGCTGAAGTGAGCTATGGCAGAGCCAATTAAGGCAATTTCACTGGGCCCCACACATAGAGGTTCATTCGTTTGTATTACTTGTTTGCTATCTATTTCCAGAAGCTATGTGTGGCTAATAGTCTTAAAATAAAAGACCACTTCTCCAGACAAAATATATATAACAAAATCAAAAAAGGATGTTTTTTAAAAGAATAAATATGTCATCACTTGCAAATCTCACTTTCAGTCATAATATACCCCCCTCTTGTGCAACACAGAACAACTTAAATGTTCACCATGGTCCTAAAGACCAGAGGAACACAGCTGGCCAAATCTTTACCAAAGGGAGTTCTAAAAATTGGGGGAAGCTTCTGGAAATGCTTCCTTCCAAGGCCTTCTCATGTGGCAATCCTATAGAGATGAAGGAAATTGCTCCTATTGATCTGGTCAGATGGGCAAATGAATGTCTTCTAAATCTAGTATTTAAAATGAATGTACAGGGATTTTTTTTCATTCAAGGTATCTAAAGCAATAGTTATGATATAATGGCAAGTTATTCCAGGATTCAAGATTTCCCATATATTTCCAATTGCTTGACTCTTCAAATGACACAAAAGAAAAAAAAATGATGTAGGGGAAAAATGTAGGAAGCATTCAAATGAATATTCTTGTTCTTGGCTTCAATCTAAAAGACCCTTAAGATCGGAACTGTAAGCACATTGACATGTTATGACCTAATGTTTATTACTTCATTTAGCCCAGTTTCAGGAAAAGTTGTACTGTTACATCTATAAGCAATCTGACAAAAGGTTTATGTATGAAATTTATTTATAGCAAGGTGACCTGATTGCAAACTGTCTTGAATGCTTTTAGCATGCTGCCTTTGTTCATCACTGCTAAATTCAATTACATCATTATTTAGTTCTTAAGTTAGTCAATGATTTCTATGAAGCAGCAATCATGTAATTAAGCAAGCTTAATTAATATTGGCGGTGTGGCATATGTTTAAATGGTGTTAAAATTTAAAGCCAGAGTTTTCTGGTTAGAAAATTGCAACTAACTATTTTTGAATTAAAGTGAGAACAAAAAATATACAACAAGTTATCTAAGATTCCAGAAAACAGAGATAGTTCTGATGTGGTATCTGACAATCTCTAGATTAACACTTTTTAAGTATTCACACTAATAAGTGAATAGAAATACATTTTCCCTGTTGTGCACTTTCTGTGGTTTCAAGTGCTGTTGCAAAAACTCAATATCAACAGTAAAAACATGAATATTCCTTAGTGAAATAGAGGATGGCTCTTAGCAAAAGAACTTGGAGGAGTGTGCCATAAAGCAGCATAAAACAGACAAAAGCAGGGGTAGTCAACCTTGGCTCTTTTATGACTCGTGGACTTCAATTCCCAGAATTCTTAGCTGGCTCAGGAATTCTGGGAGTTGAAGTCCACGAGTCATAAAAGAGCCAAGGTTGACTACCCCTGGACAAAAGCATAACATTTTCCCCATAAAAATGAAAAGCAGAGCTCTTAAGAAGTGAATCCAGGTATGATATATATTTAAATAAATGTAAACAAGAGATCATCATTCATAGCAATGGATCATGTATTAAGAAAAAAATATGTATTACTGTGTCCTGAGAGATAGTAGCCTAATTCATTTTCCTGCCTTCCTACATCTCATGTATAGAAACTAGTGGCAACTGAATCATGTCTCAGTATTGGTGACCAAATAGTATTTTCCACTATGCTTAAATGCTTAACTAGCTTATAGCTCAAGACAGGCTGCATGATATATAAACAGTGTCTTCCCAGAGAGAGGAAGAGCCAGGATATTCAGCCTGAAGCAATTCATTATTCTGCCCCAAAATTCAAAAGTATTGAACTAGAGTCAGAAACAGGCTTCATAACAGAATAATCAGTAGTCTAGAAAAATAGTTTCAATGTTTTAAAAGAGCAAATTGCTTTTTGCAATTAGAAGAATACAAATATTTCTGAACGTGGAGTTTAGTTGTCGGCTTATATATAAATAATGAGAGGGGGGGAGAGGGGGGGAGGGAGGGAGGATGGCAGGAGCAGAGGAATTCAGAAATAACTTCATTAATATGACCTGAAAAAAATAAAGCCCACCCTCAACTTTGGTATGGAGTTAGAGTAGATGATCTCCAAGGCCCATCCAACCCAATATTCTATGATTTGCACAAAACTATAGAATAAACCATAGAGTCGCACATGATATTTCAATTACCAAATGATTAAAATTTGTTCAAACATAAATTTTAATAGGAACTATATGCTCCTAATATACAGCATGAAGGAAATAATCAAATGTAATAAAAATTAAGAACTAGATTCTTATTTATTTTTTTGAATTTTACTAATCTGAGACATGGAAAAATAGGATATGGACTTACAGTAAAAATCCTCTTTATTTCCCCCCTTTTAAGGTAATCTGAATTCTTTAATTTTCTATGCAAAGCATTCATCTAGTAAGATTCACTGGAGGGAAAGAAAGTATTATATTAAGAACAGATTGTAAGGTATGATATTTATGTCAATTATGGGGAGGTTGATCAGAATTTCATAGGACTAATTAGTTAAATGCAGATAGCTTTAAAACAATGCCACTTGTATTTACCAGATTACTAGTAATTGTTTACAGGATTTAATATGATCAACTTTACATTGGCACTGCTTGATATAATGAAAGGCTCTAATTTTTACTATTAAGTTCAGTTCTACTTTAAAAAATAAAATTGCACAAACCATTTTTAGTGCAAGCATTATCTCTATTTACATATTGTACAATACCACTGCACATACTTAAACATGATTTGGAGAGGTTGCTTCATTCTGCATGGAAATACTTTGCAGCATTTCTTTAAAGCAGTCACATGTTTTCAACTTGTTAAAACAGCTTTGCCTTTTTTTTTCAAGTTTATATGAAACCTAAAAAAAGATGTAGATGCTTTAAAGAGAGCTGTGCTTATGCTCGTGTGCATTTTGAAACAACACATCCAAATTTTCAAAAGATGAAAAACCATATTGAGTAATGCTGTTATCATTACAGCATCCATACCATTATATTCATGAAACACAATAGAAACACAACCCAACAGAAAATGTGCAAAAGGATTACAGTGCATGTCTTAAGGTCTCAACCAAGTCAATTTACAAGAAAGTGCTAAAAATAAAATAGATGCCTTAAAACAAGGAACATAATCACACTATTACATCTCCCATCTTTTCACTTCCTAGTCAATTCTATTCAAGGAGAATATACAAGAGAATTCTTAGATGAAGTCTTGATTCAATACAAACTTCACAGTGATTACGGTGTTACTGTAGGCTGAAACACAGTAACTTGAGAATACTGCACCAATATTATGCAGATTGGTACGAAAGCAGGATTGCTCAGTATCATAGAGAATGACAGCTGAATAAGGAAGCTAAAGGGAGGGTGGAAAAGAGAAGGGAGTAACTAGATATGTACATGAGACCTAAGAGGTCCCACAGTTTGAGGTAGAAGGGAGACTCACTGCTTCAGTCATTGATTCTTTCTTTTCCTGGGGGCAGCACCATCACAACCATTTCTAGAAGGTCAGCTGTTCACCTTATAAGCAGTTTGCTAATTCTAAAAGTAGTGGATGAAGTGGCATTTACCAACTGTAAGGTAGATGCCATTACCATCTCAGAATCAAGGAGAGTATCCAAGGCATCCAACTAGCTTAGAGAGGTGTGTTCTTTATTTGTGATGAAATAGCTACTCCAGATTATTGAGAGTAGGGAAGAGAGAAACAATGTAATGGTATGTGGGAAAGACCTTGGGAGATCAGGTGAAGAGATGCTTCCTAGGAAATGGTCAGATAAGAGAGAGTACATCCCACAGTAGTATAGTGGGAAGAGCAAAGGGACTCTTGTTTAAATTCTCTGACTTTAAAAGTGACAGTTGGATAATTCTATTTTCAGACTTGCCAGATTCTGTTAATGTGGCTTTACAATAAAATAGAATTAGTGTATCTGATTATGTTTCTTGTCTAACCAACCTGGTACGGCTGACAGATAGTGGTTGGATGGTTTGGCATCAATTTACTCTTCCTGGTCCTATGTTTTGAAACTACCAAAAAACATGTTCTGTTATACTAGCGTTGTTTCTTCTTTGATACTACTATGTATATTTGTGCTCCATTGAGAATGATCGTATCTCCTCCAGTGTCTGTAAGAAGATGAACAGTTTTTCTTATCTTTTTGCATTTATGATGAATGAGGTTTCTCGTAGGCTACAAACATTTTCCTGTAAGACAGAGACCCCCATTTTTGGATTAACAAAAGAACCAAGTGCTTGATCTCATTCATAGTGGAGACCTTATCTTTAAGATCATGAAGCAAAATCATAGTGGATTAATTAATTTGAAAGTAAAATAAATTATAGTTAAATAAACTGTATGTCTATTGGATAAAAAGGGATACAAATAACAGAAGATAATTCACATCAGCACAATTCCCACCACAGGAATGTTGATCATCAGGTAATCTGGGAACTTTGTCAAGCATTTCCTAAAACACAGATACCTTAATTTACTATGTAGAAATATACCATAAGAAAAGTGCTTTAGATAAGGATAGGACATTGTAGATTTCCATTTAATAAAATGTGATTAATTATTATTTCTTCTATTCTTTCCACTTGAAACTTATCTAGTTAATACCTTTAATTCAAATTTGACTGAAATCTAGGATGTAGAAAAGTTGGTTGGATTAAGGCAAAAAGATCATCATCCACTTCATATCAGATTCACTTCATTCCTTATGCGGTGATTGCTAAGATGAAAGCATTGTCAGAAGTTTGCAGTCTTAGAAGTTTATGCCCAGGTGGAAAAAAAAAAGTCTTCATCTAATCCGTCTACTTAAATTACAAGATTTGGTAGCTTGTTTAGATGTCCAAAATATTTTTTTTTAAAGGAAAGTCTCCATGCTTGTGTTTTTATCTTGGTATGATTATCTTTTCTATGGCACAGATAATGTGATCCCAGTTTTTGCATAAAATTGCAAGAAAAGTTACTGCAAAAAATGTGCAAATAATATGGAAACGGCTTTTCATCATAGGAGCTATAAACTTTGCTATGGTGGAGACACAAACAAGGATAACAGTCATGAAGGCCAAGACTATGTTTATGCATTTTCCTAGTAGGACTTTGGCATTAACCGTTTCTGATTGTAATGCTTGCTGTTCTTGCTGGTGGAGCTCCAATTTAGCAACCCGTGTCTGGCAAGATTCCAAAGCTTCCTATTGGCAGAAAGCAGGAAGGGAACACAGTGGAACAAAATGTTAAGGAACTTATATACAAAATAGATTTCCATTTCTGTCTGATCAGTGAAAGAAGTAATTCAAGCCTACTGTATTCTACTGGAAAATGACTCTTAGAATTCCCAGCTCCATTATACCATTAGAGATATAGATACAGGTCTTAAAAAATACCCCATTATGTATAAATTGTTTAAAATTTTCATTGACAACAATAAAGTTCAAACATTTCTATTGCCTATGAAGATGTAAAAAGTGGTGGTTTTTCCTTTTCATTTTCTCTGAATATACTGATCATGAAAATTTGAGTTAATTTTTTAACTCACACTAAATTTCAAAGGAAATTATACTTCTTAAGAGAAAAAAACACCAATCTTTAATTGTAAGAACAAGGCATCTGACATTTTACATACTCTTTCCAGCTTAATTTATTAAGAATTTGGGTTTACAAATATTTTTTCAGAGTAATTAATTTTTAAAAGTTTAGCAACCAATTTATTTTTCCTTGCAACAAATTAGCCTTTTTTAACTTCCTGCAAATTAATTTTTTGGATGGCAATGTACGGAAGAGTTCTTTGCACTAATATTCTTTACAAATAGGAAACAATATTATTTAATTTTAAAATTGTGATACCTGAACATCACGTGACCGCTCATAAGCCTGATATGCTACTTTTTCTTCAATACTGGCCAGTTCTTGCTTCAAATTGGCTGTTTCATGTTGATGGAGGTCTGTTAGATCATTTAGCTGGTCTTCTAAGTGCTCATATCTTCATATGAATTTCAACAACAAAAAGATTTATTAAAGTTACTTTTGGTGTAGTTTATAAGTTAAAATATCATTTATAGGTGTTTCTTTTTAAAAAAAATCAGGATAACCAATCTTTTCATGAAGTGAGTTTAAATTGCCTTATATAGAAGCTAGATATTTTAGACTTTTTAAAAATCAAATTGTTGAGTATTTCAATTTATGTAATTACTCATCTCAAATGCATGACTCTGGGTGACTTACAACAATTGAAAACACTACAAGAGAACAAAATACAATCTTAAAAGAAAACCATATAAAATCACATCACACAATCCACAGCCAAGATAGATAAAACAGTCAACACTCAAAACAACCACTATTTAGGCTTTACCGCACATCTAGATTACCAGGCCTGGGGGCAAGGTCACATCAAAAGGCCAGTGGAGTCAGGGCAATATGATCTCCCAGGGGATGATATTCCACAGGGTGAGTGAGCTCCACAGCAGAAAAGGCTCTCTTCCTGGGCCCTGCCAGATAACATTCTCTAACAGATGGGACCTGAAGCATGTCTTGCCTACCAGTTCTAATGGGATGGGTAGATGTAAGCAGGGAAGGCAGTCTTTCAAATAATCTGGTCCCATGACATGAAGGACTTCATAGGTCATCACCGATACCTTGAACTGAGACCAGAAGCATAATGGCAGCCAACCACTGATAGAGCAGCAGGGTATAATTGTAATATAATATATAATTGTATACCTGAATCTTTCCTCTTGCAAGGTCTGAGAAATAAAGCCATAATCTCTTTTGAACTGTACTTTTAAATTCTCAATATCTTCTGATAATTGGGATTGTGCTTCCTTTATTTCCCTCAGTTCTTCCAAGAATATGGTAAGTTTTCCATGGTTGTCCAAAGCATTTGCCTCACCATGACCAAAGGATTGGTTTCCATTACTGTCTATGGATCCAGATGTTCCACTTGAGCATTCATCATCACTGGTGTATTTTGGCTTGGCTACAATGGTGGCACTACCACCATATGCCCTAGAAGTAGTTTCTGGTCTGAAGTCATCTAAGCTACTCTTCAAGTGAGCAATGTTGTCAGCACTACCAAACTTATTCCGAATGAGATTTGCAAACTCCCTGGATTTGTTGAAAACAAACACTGGAGGCGTCAACGAGACTCCTAGAACCCCCGTTTTGCAGCTTTCATTGGCCTGACTGGTAGCACGAACTTTGCCATGTACATCTTTTAAAGAGTGTTGGATTTCCTTTAGGCTGTCTTTGGAAGCATCTCTGGTGCTTTTGGAGGAACTATTCTGTTCTATTTCTTTTAGCTTTCTGTGATATTGTTCCAGTTTTTTTTGCAGCTGGGCTATGGAATGGGCAGACTTCTGATTCTTCTTTTCAAAGACTTGTTTAATTCGTCCAGCTTGTTGTTTGTCTGCACTGTTCACCAGCTTCAAGTACTCGGCCACATTCCCATCCCGAGCTGTTTGTTCTATTTTTATTTGCTCAGTAACTTTCAGAATCTTTTGTTTCAGACTATCTGCGCTGAGTTTTACTTTGTGAAATTCAAATATACCATCAGGTACATCAAAATTCAGATTAGTGTCTGAACCTCCCCGGCGAATATTAAGAGGCAAACTGAGTGTATTCACATCATGTCTTTCCACCTAAGAAAAGATTAAATACAAAAATCAGTAAGAGGCTTTTTTGTGTAAAATTTTATATATAGTTTTAAGTCACTGCAATCAGAAACTATTCAGAAAATTATCAGAATTTATTATCATAATTTTCATGGGAAATAAAGAATTGCTGGAGAAATACCCTGAGAAGACAGTTTTCTGTTCTTTCCATTAGGTTAAACACAATAAATAATAAAATACAAGTAATAAATGATACCAAGTTATATGATTTTACTTCAGAATTATAAATAATTTTAAACCTAAACTATGACACATTCCTAAATTTATTCACATTCATTCAGAAGTTAAAACAATATAACTGTTTTACAGATAAAAGTTTGCTGCACAATTTGTTTGCTACACAAATTGTTTATTTTTATTTATGTATTCAATTTCTATAGCCACCCATCCCAAATAATGACTCTGGGCAATTTATAGGCAGTTTATAGTTTTTTAAAACTGTAAAACAGTTAAAAACAGTTATTTCCCCCCCCCCAAAAAAAACTATATATAATTACTTCCCTGGTCAGTTTCTCAAGTCTCTAAACAAAACAAACATATTTCTCTTGACTCATCCAATCAGGAGTCAATTGTTTTTTACTTAGTTCTAAATTAGTGGCTACATTGTCAGTTCAGCCATTTGATCTGTTACTTTATTGGTATCCCCAGTTATCTACCAGCCCATTACAAATGATTATCATTTTCCACTTTCACAGAGAAAAAGTAGCTGAAATACATTCAGCAAAGCCAGAAGAAGCTCTTCTATATATTAGCATATCAAATTGCACATTGAATCTAAGAAGCATGATCCCTTGATACAATAAAAAGGTGCCTAAATGCAGTGATATTCATAAATCTATAATTTCTTTTTTGATTGTACTATATTTGTGCATATGCCTTAAACTATTGGAGTGAAAAGACATAAAACAATTTTAGTAGATTTTTATTTAAAATTATCTGTGGTATATTTTGAATGTGATTACTAGTCAGCTGTTAAGTGCTAACAACTCTGTCAACTGTAGGTCTAATAATAAAATATCACATGATATAGAAACGGGTAGAGATCTATCTATCTATCTATCTATCTATCTATCTATCTATCTATCTACTATCTCTCTCTCTCTCTTTATCTATCTATCTATCTATCTATCATCTCTCTCTCTCTCTCTCTCTCTCTCTCTCTCTCTCTCTCTCTATCTATCTATCTATCTATCTATCTATCTATGAAAACATTGCCCTATTTCCTTATGCAAGCAAAGTTTAGTTTAACATATTATAAAAAAAGAATAAAACCACAGAACAAGAAGAAAATGTCAGATGAACATTCAGGCTCCTAAAAAGGTAGATGTCTACATGATCAGATGGCCAGTACAAGATAGATTAAGCAGAACAGGAGTATTTTGCCTCATGGGATACAGAAAGATCTTTTTGTATAGCACACCAGACTGCAAACACATTAAGGCTAACATGCCAAAATACTGAATAAGTTTTCACCGGATCCTCAAATAATACTTTGAACAACTCACTGAAACTGAAATTTAGTTCATGTTATATTTATGTTAAATATTTGGAAGAAAAGAGTAGTGCCAGTCAATTGGAGTGAAGGTAGTATATAGTTTTATTTTCTTGGGATGAATAGCTAAAAGTAGACACTGCATTGGAGAAGTAAGAGAAATGCCTAGATAGTATTATGCAGGGCTTTTTTTGTTATAGAATGCACCAGAACAGAGTTCCGGCACCTTTTTTCGACGGATTTTCCAGAGTTGCATTCTTTTCCTATTGTTGCCCTTCCTATCCTCATTTGCTGCTGGCAGTACGGTGCGAGCGGGGTCCTCTACGGCGTTGTCTGCCTCCTCTAGGAGGAGCCATGAGGTGCCAAAGCACCACAGCCAGAGCGTGGCTTGATTGGCTGGGTCGAACCATGTGGTGTGGAAGCCGATGGTAGCGGTGGGAGACACATAAACATGGAGGCCATCTTTTACATAAGGGTGAGCAACCCTTTTGCCTTCCCTTACAGAAGGTGGGGTGTGAGGTTAAAAAGAGGCGAAGCGAGAGGAAAGAAAGGCGGCTGGTGTGGAAGCTTGCCCGACAGCGAAACTTTGCTGTTTCAGTTCTTTGGGTAGTTCAAAGGCTGGGATATCTACGAAAATCTCTTTAGTCTTTTATACTTTATATTCAAACTGCAGAGGGAAAGAATAAGAATAAAGCCAATGTCTTGTGATTTGGAGGTATTATTATTAATAATAATATATATTAATTATGTATTAGTCAGATGTAAAGGTGGATATACAGTATGAGGTTTATTTATTAAATTGGGTTTAACTTAAAGGTAAATTAAAAGTAATCTGTTCACTGACACTGTTCACTGACAAAGTTTCAACTTTAATTTGTTTCAAGTCAATATCCATATTAAATTCCAAATGTAAATTTTTCCACCTTGTTTGACAACTTCTTAAAAATAATTCAATCTTTTACAAGTAACCAGATTTTGTTTTATTGGGCCAATTTCATTCCACATAGAAAGCTGACATTTCCACTCATTAAACTAAATGGGTATGCCAGTGGTAAATGTCCCAGAAAATTAATAAAATGCCTTCTTGTAATTTAAAGCCACACAGTGCATGATAACATTAATAGTATTAACTTACCTTGAACAAAATCCTAGTCTTTTAGATACATTAAAAATTGAAGGGTTTTTTTTTTCAACTACAAAGGTAAACCTTGTAGTGTAGGCAAGGCAAGTTCTTTGATGTGTGTGAATTCCGGCACCTTTTTTTTTTTTTTACAAAAAAAAGCACTCGTATTATGAATGTTAAGGATATTTCAATGACCCAAAGGTGCTTTTTCAAAAGGCAACCGAATCAGAGCTGAAGAAGCTTCTGGGATGAGAAGCAAAACATCTTTAAAGAAAAACAAGAAAGTCCAGTTGCCTCTTGAAAATCACCTTTGGGACAACCATGACCTGGATGACTGAGAATTTCCATAAATATTTCAATGACAACAAAGATCAGAATAGCAAAAGTAAAGATCTTCCCAAAGATAAGATAAGACTAAAAAATTAGACCTTGAAAAATGATGAGAAAGACAGAAATTGTTGAATTATAGTTTTGGAAATGGTTATTAATCAATCCATTCCAGTGGTTGATTGCTCTCTCAGGCAATGATCAGTAGTTGAAACTCATATAGTTTGGTGATGTGATGTGAACAAATGATGGACTAAAATAATAGCTGTACTTGGGAAGGTTGAAGGAAGTTGAAAAAGAGAAGACAATAGACACTGTGGATGGATAGAAAAGAAAAAATATTGGAATGTCATTGGAAAATTTATGAAATATTGCTAAGGACAAATTGAAGTTGTAAGCAAGTTAGCAAAAGTAAACTCTGACTCAATGACATGTAAATTACTGGTCAGTGCTGAGTTAATTTTCCCTGCTAAAGAGTGGGAACAGAAGGATTAACTATATATTGAACACCAGTACACATTATGTTATAGGACCAATTGTTTCATTTAGAAAGAAGCAGCTTCAAACTACACCCAAGAGTTAAATGGTGGGCACTTTGCTTTTTCTGTCCAAGCCATATTCCCCAAAGTATAAACATATCTGAATGGCACAAGGTAACTATTTCATTTTCTGTTCTCAAGCAGCATTTTTTTTAAGAAAAGAAAAGAAAATGGCATTAGAATTCTAATGCATACATTTTGCCATAACATGGACTTAAAGACTCGTAATACATATGTACCAAATAAAATTACTACTTGGGTAGTATTCCATTTTTAATGGTCTAATCAAAGTTTAAGATTCAGGACTCTATGCAGCTGAGATAATTAAAACCACAAAAAACAATACAATACAGATAATAAAATAACCTCATTAAAACTGAATTAAAGCCATAAAACATAATCATTGGGAAAGTGCAAATCATGTGCCAATCAATACAACCATCTAGCGGGCTCCATATTTGCTATAGTTTGGATTTTCTTGTTTATTTCAAATACTTACATTCTACTGCTTACAAAAAGAATAAACAAATCATTAAAGATTTCTTAATGTACTGTAAAATTAAAGCAATAGTTGGAAGTAGTCAGCCACCTAGGCTATTTTATGGTACAACTTATTTTTTCCAGGAAGCTATGAAATTGCAAGAATTAGGTGTATCAATCCAACTGGGTTATAGAATAGATTTAGCCAATCAATAACAATATTTATCTAGAGACTGGATTCAACTTTATCAACTCCTGACTCCTACTGGAACACTGTGTTTAGAGCACACTGGAAAACCTGTTGTTTCTTAAATGTTTGGTTTGGACTCTCTTCAGGACAGACAGCCATGTTGTACAGTCCAAGTGAGCCTTGCAGAGTTCCATCCAACATCATTAATAACCATGTATGTTGGGAATTCTGAACATCTGGAGAGCATCAGCTTGGGAAGGCTGAACTATTTTATGCTTCAGATGTTGTGCCACTTCAGTCAGCTGTGAACTATTGCATAACCCTTGGTTAACAAAGCAATGTGTTAACACAATGTGTGAATTCAACCATTATAAGTGTTATATTGCAATGATAAAACCAACAGTATGATATACTGTCATAAAATTCAGAGCAATATGGACAATCTTGATACCTATGACAATAACAGATCAACTCAGTGCAAAAAAAAGCCTTGATTTAAATTGGATCATACGCATACTCTTCTAAAGCTTTATATCATAAAGCGTCTGATAGACGAAACCAAGAAACATCTTATGTATGACTCATTTCCTAAAGAAATGGAAACATCTTGAGTTAGTGTAAACTCAAAGTAATATTATGTGCTAAATGATTTTTTTGTTTATACAAAATATAATCAACAGAAGTATCAAGGGCAAATTGCATAAGCTTCAGATCTGGCTACAATATTATTTTCATGGTGTAAAATGTTTATAAATACCATGCATAATCATATGCAGAGTATGTCCTGATTCTCTTTTGACTTGAGTAACATGAAAT